CCCCCCCCCCCCAGAGCTTTTATCTGTTCTGACCCCAGCCACTATAGCTGTCCCAGAAGACTCCTCAACATGGCTTATGAAGCCCTGCAGATATGCTCCCATACACCTCTCCAGCCTCTGCTCTCTCTGTTCACCGCATACTGTATGACCCACCTACACTGAACCACTTGGTAGTTTCCAGGAGTCATCAGTTAGTTTCATTCTCTCTGGCTTTCTCTTCCTCTTTTCTCACCTCTTCCTTCAACGTCTATTCATTTCACTAGTCTCAGCTTAGAAATCACCTCCTCCAGGACACCTGCCCTGATCACCACCAACCTGGAGATCACGTTTGGTGCTCTTTCCATGCTCACAGTTCCTTACATAGTAGTAATTACCCAGGATTGTTATTGTCATTTATCTGTCTCCAACTAGGCTGGAGTTTTCTGAGGAGAGGGACCAGGTAGAATTCTGCTCGGGTCCTACTCCCAATCCAGGTCACTTACTTGCTGTTCAGGATGTGGAACTTCTCACCCTTCATGAAGGTGAGGTCATCTTCTGTCCGGGCCTCATAGTCATACAGGGCGATGAACAGGGTCACCCCAGTTCCTGCAGAGTCAAGGCTACTCAGCAGAGTAGGGCACCAGCTGTACTCCTAGAGTTCTGTCCCTCAACCGGGCACTGTGCCTTCCCACTGCTGTGCCCTGCTTCCCTAGGCCTCTGGAATCCCATAGATTTCCAACTCAGGCTTCACAGCTTGGCCCCTCTTGGATTCAGGACACACACATTAACACTCATCCCTGCCAACTTGGGGAGTAGCCGGGTCACCAATTCCTCCTCTTCCTGGTCAAGAAGACTTCCCTTTTGCAGCTGCCACAGGGGTCCCTCTCTGAGACTGGGACAGAGCTGTTTCCCCCGCAGACTGGGGTTTCTGAGGCTAGGGCTGTGTGTATTCCCTCAGGGCGCCCGAGGAAAGCAGGGCTGTGTTTCCCATGCCATACTGGAGACTCCTAAGGACAAGTCCGTATCTTCCCTTCTCCCAGGGTCCAGGTAGTGCCTGCCTCCAGCCTACAACTCACCTGAGATGCCCGTGATGGTGCCCCCATCGAGGAAGGCGGGGCTGGTGGGCTGAGGGGAGAAGTTGTTATAGTTGGGGATATGGGCAAAGGAGGACACAGGCCGGGCCTGAGTAGGGTCAGGGCCATAGCGGTCTGCGGCCCCGTAGCTCCTGAAGTCCCCTTCCAGGCCAACATCCTCCTTGGGCCCCGGCTCCGACTTCTTGCAGAACACACAGCCCATTCCAGGTGCCCTGCTAAAAAATGGGGGTATGCCTCAGTCGGGGGCCCCTGCCAGATATGCCCCACTATGCACATGTGCATGCATGCGTGTGCGCACCTGCATACACACATACACACCACCAGGTCCAGCTGCCTAGCCGATGACTCTGTCACAAGCATGCAGCTTTCCCTCTCAGGTCTGCAGTAGGGGCTCCTCCCTAGTGAGGGATAAAGGCAGGCAGGGCTACCACTGATCTACCTACCAGCTGCCTTAGTGTGCTTGGAGAGAGTGTGTATCCTCAGTGGGGCTGGTTTTCTGCTTCCAAATGTTGCTGTGCTCATTTATATATTTTGCCTCCTATTGCTTCAATATTTGGTATTTCTATGACTCCTTCAGAGTGCTCATGTGTGCCTTTTGTGTGTCTCTAAGTATTTGTGAGTTTGTTGGTGTGTGTGTATGTGCAGCCTTTTGTGAATGTCTGTGTATGTAAGTGCATGTACATATCTTTGTATGTGATGGCTCTGTGTGTGCTTGTGTCTTATGAGTGTGTTCCTATGCACACGTACTTCTGTGGAAGTACATGTGAATGTCCGTGCATATGCGTGTGTGTCTCTGTGTATGTGCATGTTATGCACGGATGTGTGTGTGAGTGTGTGTGAGGGCTGTGTGCCTGCACCTGGAGATCCCCTGCAGAGCGGGATCAAGGCCATTTCCTGTCTCAGGTCCAGCCTCTGGCCTCTCAAGCTGCCTCATTCTGGCTCCCCCATCTGTTACCTAGCAACAGGGCCCTTGCAGGAGGAGGGGGCTGTGAGGAGTTGTGGGGCCCAGGAAGGCCACCCCAACCCGAGTTCCCAACCCTCAAAGCGGATGACTCTTGGTGAAGTGTCCCTGAGTATGAGAAGCCCTCAGTCCCCACTCTCCTTACTCACCCCTCAGGCCCCTACTCCTGGGTCAGTGGGGCTGCAGCATGGTCCTTGGGAGGGGCCAGAGACCTGAGGGTAAGACAGAGGACATGGAAGGGAAAGGTTCTGCTAATGTTTTTGCAAGTCAGCTGCTAGCTCCTGCCCTCTTCAGGAAGCCAGAAGGCCTGGGCTCTGCCCCAGCATGACTTTTGCCTTCATTTTCCTTCTCACCACCCCTGGCACACTTACACATCCACCCTCACACAGGACACACCACCCACACAACCACATACAGTAACACACACACCAGCAACAGTCACATGCCAACACTTACAGCATACACTTGCATGCGTGTGCTAAACACCACTACACACCAACACAAACTAGCTCTCCCACAAGCCCAAACTGATGCATAACGGCATGGACACACAGGCTGCCTCTCAAGTAACAGACTCGGACACTCATATTTTAGTGTTAGATCCATTTCTCTAATTGGATTCCTATCAAGTCATGCTCAGCTCATTCTTGGGCTGCCAGTCCCTATCTCCTAAAAACACTGTCTCCTTCCTTTGGAAGCTGCCTCTGCTCCCAGCCTGGGCTGGGTAAACCCCAGCAACCCATGGCTACATCTGGTGGCAGAGTAAAGGCAGACACCTACCTCTAGAGCTTGCTCTTATCCCCGTATTAGGGAAAGGCCCAGGTCAGAAGTCAGGGCCATGAAGATCCCTTGAGGAGCCCACCAATGAGCCTAGCCTTTCCTGGTAACTGTGTCCCCTGAGCAACAGGCTAGCAGGTCATTGAGCAAGGGTTCCCCCTGCCCTGCCAGAAACTCTGGCATTGCAACACTCAGAGAGGAACTGCTGCGGGGAGAGCTTGGTTTCCTAAGATGTGAGAGGAATGGAGAGATGCAGGGTGGGGCTGACCCAGTGAACACTGATTTCCCCAGAGGGGCCTGAGGGCCCTGCCTTGCCTTTCTTGACCCCTAAATCCAGTTGCCCTTATGGATATCTTCCTCCTCTTCTCTCTGGGTCCTGCCCCTCCCACCAAGCACCACTCACCTCTTTCCAGGAAGCCTTCCTGGATCCACCAGGTCCAGCTGCTTAGCCAATGACTCTGTCACATCAGTGCCCTGATCTCCACCCTAGCCCTACCAGCCCCTCTCACCCTTCACTGTAACTGTTCTCCTGTAGAAGGAGGGGGCTGACACCTATGTGGTGAACTGTGAGGCGGGCTGTGGCGAGAAACCTAAAATAGCCCCTGTTCACCAAGCCATTTCAGAGATCTTCACCTCAGGACCCCCCGTCTTGGGCAAAACCACTGTGTCTGCAAGGCTCCAGGATGTTGCAGGGCTGGTTAGGACCAGGGAGAGATGGAGGTGGGAGTGGCATACAGGGTTTTCAGGCACTGCGGGGACAGATGGAGGTAAGATGGAAAGGGTTACAGGCTGAGAATGAAGGTCTTCGCACAGGAAGACACGTGCACATCTTAAGTGGCACACAAGCCCTATACCCAGAATCACACAGCCCTCCTGACACATTTTCAGTCACACACATTACCTCAGCTACACACGGCACCTCACCCAGAGACTCAGCTCCTCTATACAGACTCACAGGCACAGACACACACAGACACACATTCACAGACACATATATCTTCAAGGCTACCACACCCCCACATACACAAATCTCCAGCCCTCACCCATCTACACACACACACACACACACACCCTCTCCACAACAGCATATACAGAATTTATAGCACTTACTGTGTGCCACCACTTCATTAAACACTTTACATATATGACCTCATTTTATTCTCATAACACCCCTATGAGGTAAGTATTCTTATTATGGATAAGGCAACTGAGGCACAGAGGTTTAGAAACTTGCCCAAGGTCGCACAGTTGATATATCCTGGCATTTGACCCCAGAACAAGAGCCACTTCTTTCCAGTGCCTGGTCACAGACATGGGCAATTGCAGCCATTCCTACAAGCGTGCACAGATGGAGCCTGCGCAGGGACGCAGCCCTCCTGGGTGGTGGACCCACACAGAACTCCCTCCATAAAAGACACACTTACACAACCTCTCGGGCCCACACATAGAGACAATGTTGCCACTTCGGTACATATTACCACAATGATTTTTGTTGTTGTTGTTGTTTTTTAATTCTCACCTGAGGGTATTTTTCCCATTGCTTTTCAGAGAGAGTGGAAGGGAGAGAGAAACATTGATGTAACGGAGACACATCGATTAAGATTGCCTCCTGCATGTGCCCCCAACATGGGCCGGGGATAAAGCCTGCAACTGAGGTACGTGCCCTTGGCTGGGACAGGACCTGGGACCCTTCTGTCACCAGGCCGATGCTCTAACCACTGAACCAAACTGGCCAGGGAACCACAATGTGTTTAAATCAGCCTAAGGGGAGTCCCAAATTCTGCACGTCTGGAATGGGGTGGGGTTCAGAAACTGTCAGCCATTAAAAAGGAGGCAGAGGGCTCTGTGGGCTGAGCACAAGCCAAGGCAGGTCCGACACCATGGGCAGCAGGCAACAGAGTCAGCTCTCAGGGCTTTGCACTCTAGGACTGATGGGGATCAAAGCCCAGGGCTAGGCTTGGCCCTCTGAGCGCTGGTAGTGTGTTGAGGAGGTTGGGGGAGGTGGGGTGAGGGTGTGGGGCACAGGGTGCGGAATCTGCATGGCCCAAGGCACTGAGGATGCCACATTGAATGTGACAACGCTCATATAGTTTTCTCAGAGGGAAGAGATAGAAAAAGAAAAGGCAGGCAGGAAGACATAAATGCAGACAGAGACACAAAGGGAATCCCAGAGTGATGTGCTGGTATACTGACTCTTAAAAAAAAAAAAAAAAAAGCCCTGATTTGTAGCATTTGCTGATTTCCATGGTGTAAATATTCCCTCCATGGCTGATTTCAGGTTACCTAAGTGACTTCCTGAATGCTGGGCTGGAGATTTGCAAAATCAGCTCCCCAGAGCCAGCAGTAGCTGGCTCCAAAGCTTCACTGCCAGAAAGAAACAAAGAGAAAGAGAGACAGAAATGAAAAGTAGAGAGACAGAGACAGGAAAAGAAAAAGGCAGAGATGAAGAGAAAGAGTCAGAAATAGAACTAAAGGAAAAAAAGAAAAGAGAAAGGGATCTTTGGAAATAATTCGACTTCCTAGAAGTCTGGAAGGCAATAACTATTAATTTAAAAATGTTAATTTACTGAACACCTCTTCAGTGCCTGGTGTTGACCCAAGCAATTTCCATGCACGATCTCACTTAGTGACTTTATGAAGTGGGTTTCACTATTACCCCTATTTTACAGATAGGGACTTGACTCTGTTCATAAATATGGCTTTTGAACATCTGGTTGGCAGGATTCAGCTACCAGAGGTTCATCTGGGTCAAAATCAGGTAGTGGATGTCAGAGCTGAGGTCCGACCACGGTGCTCCCTCCAGCCTTCAACATTTCCTCTGTGTGGCCCTACTCAACTCTGAAACCTTGGATTAATGACATAAGCCCTCTGAACCTCAATATTTGCACCTGTACCTTCTGTACTGTTGTTGGGAAGGCTTGAAGAGATGTGGCTCTTGCTTAGTGTGCAGTAGCTAAGCGAGGCTGAGAACTACAAGTATCGAAGTTAGAATGGCCCCCAGGGACATTAATCAGTCCACCCCCAACCCCCGTCTTGTGTGTAGGGAGGAAGTGACTTGCTGAAGGTCAAACAGTCGGATGGGGGATTCAAAGCCAGGACTATTAATTCAGGTCCAGAGTTCTGTTCCTGTAACTATGACTGTGTTCTCCAAAGACTGAGCAGGGGAACATCATATTTCCTACCCAGCTCCTGGCCAACTAAACACACCACCACTCCCTGCCGTATCATATGGCAGCTGGCCACCCAGCCAGGAGCCTGCCTCCCTCCCACCCCTACTCCTGGACATAGGAGCCCGAGGCCTACACATCCTTTCTTGAGGACCACACTTCCCAAAGCCATGTCAGGTCTTTGATGTATACCCACGGTGTCCTGTTTACCCCACTAACCCCTGCCAAGTATCTGTAGCATCTGGAGACAAGTTTAGGGGCAAATTCTACCGGCCTGACAACTAGCTTGAGACATTTGGCAAGTCAGTTCACCTTCCCAAGCTGCAGTTTCTTTGCCTAGAAAACAGGAACAAAAATTGCTACCTCATGAGGTTGCTTCTGAACATCAAATGCCGTCAAGCCCCTGAAAACACCTCCAAGTCTGAGGTAGGAGGAGTGGCGGGGCTGAGAAGAAAGAGAAGTTCCCAGGGTGAGGTGGGAGGGCTGGGCTGGCACAGCTGCCTGGGGAATTTCACCAAAAGGGAACTGGGTGCCTTTGGGCAGTGGTAGGAAACCACCATCCTGCAAGAGTTCCGGCTTCTCCTCAAGGCTCTGGGCTATCCAGGGGCGGGTCAGGGCTGGAGAAGCAGGGGGCAAGCCTCAACTCCACAGCAGCCCATCTGTCACCAGTCACCAAGACCTGACCCCCCTGACTGAAGGCTTCCACCCCTCACCGAACTTCGGTGCCCTTACTGAGCCCTGATCTCCTTCACTGAGACCCCCACTTCTCACTGAACCTCCAACCATCTCACACCAGCTTTTCTTGAGGCCTTACCATCTTCCACCCCTGAACACAGGGGCAGAGAAGACAAACCTCAATCTGAGGCTCCTAACCTGGTGTGGGGGTACAGTGGGAGAAGGGTGGGGCAGGGGAGAGGGAAGGGACCTATCTTTGCCATACTAGCTTTACCCTCCATATGGTCCTGAGGTGTCAGCTGAATTTTTCCCACTTCTTGTGGGTAAAAGTGTTTTTTCATCTGTTCCTAAAAACACACCCATCAGCGTCTAAAGCAGGAGTCTTCAGGGACTCCAGATTCTTGGGAGATGTTGAGGCATGGGTGACTCGGGGGAAGCTGAAGAATTACGAATCTACATTTGACACTCTGCCAGACACGAAGCCCCCTCACCAGGTCCCACCTTAGGCCAGCCAGAAGGGCCCTGGCTCCCCCTTCCCTGGTTCTGGAGCCCCCCTACTCAGCCTCTCTTGGTCTGGCCACTTCCTTTGCCACATCAGCCCCAGGTGGCTGCAGAGAACACCCAAATACTCACACATCGGCCTACATGCTGATGATCATTCACTCAAAGCCCAAGCCCTGCTCACAGTCACTCTCACAGGGGACCAGGGACCAGCCATGAAGCCCATGAAGCCCAAGCCTTCATGCACCTCTCCCCCTTCACAATTTCCAGAGGGCTGCCTGGGATTTGGTAGGGATGAGAGGAGAACTCAGCCCTCAGCCCTGGCTACTTCTTTCACCACATCAGGGACAAGATGCCCTGGACTCTGGGTCCCTAGTGCTGGCCCTGTCAGTCATTGACTCCCAAACCTTCATCTTCTAGTCTGTGACGTGGGAACAGAGCCCTGCTCTCCCTCCACCAAAACAGATGGAAGGAGGCCAAAGGACTCAGGATCACAGGGTGTGGCACCATGGGCATTGGGGACAGATCGCAAACTGGTTGACTTTCCTAGTATGGGCCCTCAACAGATCACATTTATTTATTTATTTATTTATTTATTTATTTATTTATTTATTTATTTATTAGATGTCAACTGTGCTGGTCCCTGGAGGCCCTGTCGGGTTTTCTGTCGGGCCCTACATGCTTTTGAGAAGGTGAAGGGGAGGATCCCCAGGTCAGGGATAAATAGCTCTTAACCCCTCCAGGACACTCAGCAAAAACTGCTTTCTGCACCTGATTCTCAGGACTGGGGATGGGATGGGAGATGGGGGCTGCGTAGGGGCAGAAACGACTTCCCCCCATAATTCAAATGAGGGAAAGGAGGCCTGGAGAAGCCCCATAACTAACTTAAAGTCACACAGCAACCAAGGGCCCAGTCTGGTCAAGTCCCAGAAACCGCAGATCGCCCACCCCAGGACCCGCGAACACGGAACACCATGGTCTTACTCCTCAGCCCCGCAGCCCTCCCCGGACTCAAGCCCCGAGGCCGGAGCGAAGCCCTGGCGGGTCTTCCGTGCATCAAAAGGTGGCGGTCGGATTCCGGGTCAGGGCACACGCCCGGGCTGCAGTTTCAATGCCCGGGGCCAGGGGGGGGGGGCAACCATTAGGCGTTTCTTTCTCTATCCTCTGTCCTCTGCCCTCTATCTCGCTGCCTCTCCCTTTCTCTCTAAAATCAATGGGGGAAAAACAAAAACAAAAAACAAGACAAAATGGGAGCGAAGCGGGACCGAAGTGGGCTGCGGGGGTACCGAGCGCGGCAGCCAAGCTCGGGCTCAGCGTCTCCACCCTCCTGTTGCCATGGAGACAGCCCCTCCCCGCAATCGCGGTCAAAGGCAGGATTTCCGTCGGGGCGGCCAGAAATTCCCGGATCCCGCGGAGAACGCGGACCGAGACCGCCGCGGCGGGCAGGCGCGGCACCGACAGGCCCTGCCTGCCGAGGGCGGGGACTTCCCCAGGAAGCCGCGCCCACCCCTCCAGCCTGGAAGGTGTCCGCTCGCATTCCGGACCCGCCCACCGTGTGGGGGAGGCGGCCCCGGGCTGGAGTCGCGCAGCCTCCGCGCCGCTCGCGGCTGCCGGCTTCGCCCCCGACTTCGGCCGATTCCAGATAAGGGGACTTAATGGGCCCCCGGAACTGCACCCCGCATTCCGCAGCCTCCAGAAGTGGTTCTCCTCGACCCCCTTCCCGCAAACTCCCTCACCTGATCCTCCCAGACCCCCCACCTGGTTCCCCTCACTCAGACCCCGCAGCTTCTCCCCAAACCCTCGCTTTCAAGGTCCCCTCAGTTGCTCCCCCAGCCCCTTTCGGAGGTCTGCTTAGTCCCTCTCCCTCGAGTCAACCCCCGTCCCAAATTCTATCAGTCTCCCTCTACAGGTTCCCTCCGTTTTCCCACCAGACCTTTTTAGGGGACCTGCGTTCCCCATATTCCCCCAGCCCCCTCCCCACATCTTATCAGTCTGACTCTCCAGGTATCCTCAGTTTTCCTCCTTAGGTCCTTTTCGGGGTGCGGGCCCCCTGGCCCTAAACTCCTGGCTCTCAATTAACTCAGCTGCCTCCCCTAAATTCAGACTCACCCCTCCCCGACCCCCCCGCCCCGGCGGGAGGGGCTCCGCGCTGCCCCTCCAGCCCCACCTGACGGCCGCCTACCTGGTCCCAGCGGAGGTCGTTTGTGACGGACCCCAGGGTGAGTCGGTGGGTTTCCCAGCAGCCACGAGTGCCTACGTGGGGTGAAGGGAGATGACTGGGGTGCTGCCCGCCTCTGACCGCCGCCCCCTCTGGGCTGGAAGGAGGAAGCCGTCTCGGACTTCTCTTATTGCAGCCGCAGCGGCGCGACGGCAGTGGCGGCGGGGAGAACTCACAGTCACGCCCCAGCCCCAGGCCAGCTGCCTGCAGCAGGGAGGGGCCCTCAAATCCCAGGCCCGCCC